TGGCTTGCTTTCTCACTTTCTCTCTCTCTCTCTGGTCAAATTTAAATAAATAAGGAAACAAAGAAAGGAAGAAAGTTGAATAAAATAATTAAAAGAAAAAAAAGACTTTTTAAAAAAGAGGTTTTTTGCCTTAGGGCACATATGCTCTCTGGAGAGAGAGACAGACAGACATAGTGAGAGGGAAAGTGAGAAATCACCCCGCAAAGGGATGGCCACACCACAATCCCTTCTCCTCCATTCTCCCCCCAGGTTCTTAGGCATGCACACACATGTGCCTGGAATGATTTTCAAGCCACCAGGTCTGGGTCTGGAAACGTGGTCAGCCATGTGGGAGTCCAGCAACGTGACTACTATGCCATCTGCTGGTCCCAAATAATTCTTAAAAAATAAAAACTCACTCTGCTATGGTAACATTGATGCTGTAGAGCATAAAAAGAATGAAGTTGGCCTACATAGGAAAAACGATAAAAATCTCCAACAGAAACTGGGGTGTAAGAAGAAACTTACAGAATAACATGTTTGGGTAAGCCCTTTACAGTAAAAAATGGAAAAGAGGGGGCCAGCTTCATAGCATAAGAGAAATGTATCCCCCAAGAGAAGCTGGATACCACGTGGGGCATAACAGTAACGTATCCCCCAAGAGAAGCTGGATACCACGTGGCTCCAATTCCGGCCCAGTCAGAAACACGCTGGGCACATGGAGTGGTGCCAAGAGCTGAGGGGCTGGAGAGCGGAGGGCCGGAGGACGGGGGATGATGTGGACCAGCCCCTGCGGAGGAAGCTCATCTCTCTCGCTCTCAGTCACGTGCGTGAGCACACATTCCATCACGAATAAAGAAAAACCCCGAAAAAATTCACCTGAAAGGGCAACTACAAACTTGTAGAGAGATCTAGAAAGACACACATCGGAGGATGCGAGTGGTGACATCTTGGGAGGAAGTGGGTCTGGAGGAGGCTGGTTAAGGAGACTTGAAACTTTTAACATCTTACGACAGTAACCTATTCAACACACACCTTGTTAAAGTCAAAACAACGTTACTTCAGGACAAAGAGGAGGAGAGGAGTCGGAGCGCTGGACGGGATTACTGGATACAGATGAGGACTGGAGAGCAGAGGGCACCACTAGAGGGCAGAGCTGAGAGCCAAGGCCAGAGGGGCAGAGGTCCCCAGGGGAGGCGCGAGCCAGCTAGGCGGCAGGCACACAGCTCACCATCGAGTCAGGGAGTCCTGGATGGCGTTGGTGAGCGCATGGCCCAGGTGCAGAGAGCCTGTCACGTTGGGGGGTGGGATACACATCATGAAGACGCCTCGGGGATTTGGTGCTGACACGCTAGGCCGCTGATGACAGAGAAGGGTGGGCACGTGCTGAGGCCTCCGGTCACCTCTCCCAGCCCCCTCCCAGGCAATGCGAACTTCAGCCCTGCCCTTCCCCATTCCCTCCCGCCCCGGGCAGTATGCCCACTCACTCCATACTCGGGCTTGAAGAACCCCTGCTGCTCCCACCAAGGGTACCAGGCCGCCTCCACATACTGAGGGCTGTAGGAGTCGGGCATGGCGCCGCTGACATCTGCGGGAGAGGTGGGGAGGGCGCGGCTGAGGCAGGGGGCAGCTGGGAAGGGCCAGGGCCTCTGCCGCTCACATCTCAGGACCGGCTCAGGGCTCCAAGGAGCAAAAGGGTGGGATAGGACAGAGCAAGAAGGGGTAAAACCTTGAAGAAACGGTTGAAGGGGGCGGGTCCCCGCTCCTTCCTAGTACCTTTCTTTTCCCCAGGTGGTGTCGGAAGGTCATAGGTAATGACCCCAGGATCCCGTTTCTCCTTCTTCTCCGGTTTTGGTTTCTTCTGCTTGGGAGGAAGAGAATACAGGCCCAGGCCCCCCCGTGAGCCAGCACGCCCAGGCACCAACCTTCCTTCCCACTCCACCCTCAGCCTCTCACCTCCCCTGGAGGGGGCTGCTGCTGTTGGATCTTCTGCTTCTGCTGGAATTTCTCCAGCTTCTCCCGTTTTTTTGCCTCTTTCTTGAGCTGAGCAGCTGTCTTTGGAGGTGCGGGGACCTCAGGGCCTGGAGAAAGGCACAGAGATTCAGGCTCAGCCAGCAGGGGCTCAGGGCCTGGAGAAAGGCACAGGGATTCAGGCTCAGCCAGCAGGGGCTCATGGCCTGGAGAAAGGCACAGGGATTCAGGCCCAGCCAGCAGGGGCTCAGGGCCTGGAAGAAGGCACAGGGATTCAGGCCCAGCCAGCAGGGGCTCCCCTGTAGACACAGCTATCACGTTTCAGGTGGGCTCTTGAGCAGCCCACAGGTTCACCCATGCTGACCTCCCTCCTGCCCTCCCACAGGTCCTGAGAGAAAAACGTGAATTACATGGAGGCCCCGGGGAGCCCCTATCTCCCTGCTCCCCACTCGTCCTCACGTCCTCACCTGGCTGTTGGGAGAGAGGCCTGGCCCCTGAGTACAGAACCACTTCACCCAGCACGGCCCGGAATTCTGGCTGCCGGACACATGTGGTAAACCAGCGAGTCACATTACCCCAGATTCGGCGGGCAGAGGGGTCCAGGACCTGCGACAGGAAACGACTATCCTTAGTCGCCCTGCAGTGGGTTCTAAGGGGACCAGTCTCCTCCCTCCCAGGCCTCGAGTGACTCACGTATCGGAAAGGCAGCAGCAAGGCTGTGACAGCCGCGAGGTCAGCCAGCGTGGGGGCCTCCCCAGCTAAGTAGGTGTGCAGCCGAAGCCACTCCTCCAAGGGGCTCAGGGCCCTGCCCAGGGCCCCCAGTGCAGCCTGGCAGGAAGGAGAAAGGACATGGAGATGAGGATGGGCCCGTCTCAACTCAATTCCCGTGTCACCTCTCACTCAAGGCCAACCCATTCAGCCACCCTCCGCTTCCACAAATCACTAGCAGCCAGTTTCTTCTTCAGTCAAGTGGTCGTAATTTAAAAACGGGGAGTGTCAGTAGGTGGCGTGGTGGTTAAGGTGTTTGACTTGCACACGGCTGGCAGCAATTCAAGTCCCAGACCTAGTGAGTTGCTTTCTCGCTCTCCCTCTCCCTCTTCTGCCTGAGTTAATAAATAAATTTAAATAAATAAATCTTAAAAAAATACATCTGATTTATCCAGTAAATATTACCAGACACTTCTTATGTGTCGGATGCAACACATGAAACACAGAAGTGGGACCAGCAAATGGTATAATGGTTACGTTGTTGGACTCCCATGTAGCTGACCACAATTCAAGTCCTGGACCTGGCAGCTTAAAACTAGCAATTAAAAAAAAAAAAAAAAAAAAACACTCATGTTTTTAATGGTATTTTGATACTACTCGAAATAAATGCTGAATTACTCGTATTGCCATTTTGCTGTGATACCTGCCATTTCTTGCTTTCTATTTTAGATCAGTGCACACACTCTGCAGCAAAAATCTCTCTCTCAGAAACAAAACAAAAATACAACAACACACACACAGAAGTTAGAGTAAACACTATACATCAGGTAACACAGATTCTCCAGGCTGAGGTCCCTGCACCCCAAAGACAGTGATTGTCCAAGGCATCAGTGAACATTTACTAACCACCTCCCTACGGAACGACAGAAGGAGCCCTGTCCTAGTAGTCTACGCTCTAGCAGGGACAAAAGTAACTGAGCAAACACATAACGTCTTACTTATTTTTCTTAACTCCAAACAAAACAAAACAAAACACAGTACGCTGCGGGGAGCTGTAAATTTGGAGACGCTGTGAAGTCTTCAAAAAGTTCATGGAAACGGCATATTATAAAAATACTATGAAAACACAGATTTCAATTTTTGTGCTAAAATAAACTCGTTCTTTAATTCTATTTTCCTTTTGAGAGAGAGCACAACATAGATTTCAATTTCTGTGCTAAAATAAACTCATTCTTTAATTCTATTTTCCTTTTGAGAGAGAGTTTTAAAGCTAGTTATTAATTTATCATTATTATTACTATTAATTTGCTGCAGGGCACACATATTCACTGGGCGGGGAGAGAAAGAGAGAAAGTAAGAAAGTAAGCTACCAGGTCCGGGACTCGAACCTTCATCAGCTATGTAGGAGCCCAGCACCCTAACCACCATGCCCAACTTGACAGACTGAGAGATTTTTGCTGTAGGGCGCATGCACTCGTTGCATAGGCAGAGAGAGACAGAGACAGAGAGTGAGAAATCATCTCCTGGGTGGGGCGGCCACATCACAATCCCTTCCCCTCCATTCTCCTCTCAGGATCTTAGGCATGCATGCATATGCACTGGGCCTGAGTTTTAAGCCATCAGGTCCAGGACTCGAACTACCGTCCACTCAGTGGGAGTCCAGCAACTTAAACCATTATGCCATCTGCTGGCCCCTAATTCTGTTTTTTTTTCCCCCACAAACTTCCTGAAGTCCCTTTGTTTTTTCAGGTATGGAAAGGGGATAGAGCAACCCGGGATCTATGTTACATAGTCATTCAGGAAATAGTGTTAAATATCCACCGTGCTCAAAGCTGCAAGGAGGCGAGGCTGTGAACACACCATGGCAGGCCCTGCTCTGGAAGGATTTACAGGGATTACTTGGTGCGGCTCTCTCCCTCCCTTATTTCCTTCCCTCATTTCATTTCTCCTTTACTCTTTCCAGCAACTGCCATCTCTTCCTCACCCAGTATTTTCTACGAGTTCAGCGCAATCTGTTTCCAGCAGTTTCAGACTCATCAGACTTTTGCTCAGACGTTAGGACTATGTGCTCCGCGCCTCTAAGCTAACTCAGCGAGGCAGGCATTACATCAGCTCGCGTTTCGGTGTTCACACGCTTCGGAACACCAAGGCTGGGTCTGAGGATCACGCCCAGGGGTACCGAGGCTGGCAGTTTGCGTGCTGACCGATCTCGTCCACACCGCACTAGCCACCCTCCTGTCTCGTTATCCATCCAGTCCTGCTGCCTTCCTCTGAGTATCCCGCGCCCCTCTCCCCTCCGGCCGCTCACCTGGGGGTCCTGGGCAGAGCTCCGGAGTCCCAGGGCTGGCAGCGCCGCCCCGCAGGCAGCGGGGACCAGCTCGGTGTCGGCGTAATTCACCCACTGTTGGACCAGGACAGCTGCGCGGCTACCCCCAGGGCCCCCCAGGCCTGCCGGCCACAGCAGCAGGGCCACGGCCGTGGCCCCCGTGGCCCCCCACACCCAGAGCCCGCCCGGCCCCTGTTCCAGCGCGGGCAGGCGGGGTGGGGGGAAAGGGGTCCGACTGGTCGGGGGCGGCTGGAGACAGATGCGCGGGTGGGCTCCGCCCCAGCCCGGACCCTCGCCAGCCTCCCCGTAGCGAGCGGCTATGAGGGCTCGGAGGCTGGGGAAGGCATCTGGGTGCGGGGAGACGTAGAGGATGGACATAGTTGTGCGGGGGTCCCAACGAGGTGGAAAACCTAAGGAGAAAGACACGGGGAGACTGGGGCGCCCGGCGGGGAGAACTGTATTCGGGGAGAGGGGGCCCTCCTCCGCGCCCCGCCGCCGCAGGCGCCCAGACCCGCCGGGTGGGGAGCCTGACCGGCCTCGGGGGCCACGCGC